TAGTTGAAGGGTATTAGTGTATATTATATAATACATCTAAAAAAAAGTAAAATTTAAAACATATATATATATATATATATATATATATATATATATATATATATATATATATATATATATATATATATATATATATATATATATATCATTACAACTTAATACACACCAGTGTCTATAATGTTTTCATTAGAAGAATGACCACAATACTATCGATGAAAATAAGCCCGTTATATACTACTAACATATATATGTGTTAAGTTTTACAAAACTTGAAGCTTATAAAGTCTATCAGAATACAGTATTTTAAGTTTACAAAGAAAATACAAGGTTCATACAAGACTTTTATTAGAACTAAAGTTTACAAGATTATTTTTTTTATATTATCATCCTTTGTCAAAGTCAAGTCGTGATGCTGCTTTTACATTGCATTCTTTTTTGTTCCTAAGCAAGTAGTTTTTAACTTCTCCCTCTTTTTATCTTTTGCGATGAGTTTCTTTTGTTGGTTGATTTGTTTTAGGGTTTTCTTTTCTTCTGACAAACGAATTTCATTTATGATTTGAGTATCAGTCAAAATCCTTGTTTTTAATTGCCTACTTTTTGCACTTCTTTTTCTAGCAGATGCTAGATGCTTCATTACTCTCACCTAAAGTTTCAAAACTTTAGGTGAGAGTAATGAAGCAATGCTTGGTGACACTTTGTTCGAAAAACTTGTTTCATGATGTACTACAGGCATTTCAGGCTCCATGCCATCAACATGTGCTACAGTCATTTCAGGTTCCAAAAGTATTGTGTTTACACCATTTGGAGCAGCACAATCTGTTACTGATGATGGTAAATATTCATCATCTTAAAAAATTTCTGGATTAAATAGCTCAATGCCAGCTACTTGAAATCCTCTCTGTATATTAGATGGTAAGAAAGCTTTTGTATATGGTTCTCGAACTATTGAAACAATATCATAAATGGTCATAGGTCTTGGATTTGTGACCATCCAATTATCACACGCAGCATTGTAAAACCTTTTTAATGGTCCAAAAACAGTTCTATCCAATGGTTGCAATTTATGGGTACAATGGGGAGGAAAACTTAGCATTGTAATTCAATGTTGAATTGCAAGATCCAAAGCTCTAACAGAAATATGACTTTTATGACTGTCCAGAAGTAACAAAACTGGAGATTCATGAGAACAGTTTGAATACCTTACAAATTGTTTTATCCATTCTATAAAAATGTCTGAACTCATCCAACCAGAAGGATGAATTCAGAAGATTGCAAATTCCACGCATCCAGGAAGACCTTCCTTTATCATGTAGTCATAAAATTTAACCCTAGGAAAAACAAATAGTGAAGGAATAGAGTTTCCAATTGCATTTGAAGCCCAACATACAGTTACTAATGTTCCTCGTTCTGCAGATGTGATTCTTCCTACTTGTTTACTTCCTTTACCTGCTAACACTTTTACTGGCTTTTTTACTGTTGTTAAACCAGTTTCATCAACATTATATATGCAATAAGAATCAAGTTTATATCGATTTCTTACTGTTTTTAGATTTTGGAAAAATTCTCCTACAGTGTGTTGGTTAAAGGCAAAGCTAGTTGCTTTAGGTGTTTGTAAAGACAACTCTGGTTGTCTTTTCATAAAACTTTGCAACCAATTAATCCCTGCAATTTTATTCTTGATCCATGATGAAGGGCAGATTTTATTACTTTTTACAGCAAACTGGTGTGCCAATAATCGTGTTGACTTAGTTGAAAGCCCATAGTTCATTTTTGATGCAAGTAGTAAATAACTTGACAAACATTTTTCATCTTCTGCAGTAAAAACTTGTTTATTGTTGTAATTAGGCTTAAAAGATTTATTTGGATTGAGCTTCTTTTTATTACAATATCTTTTTAAAGTCATTCGATTTATGCTAAACTTGCGAGCTACAACATTCACTGGTCTGCCCTCTGAAACTTCATTAACAGCGGCTTTCATTGTATCACATGATATAGCAACTCTGTCTGTTTTTTCTTTTCTATACCTAACCATTTAAAGATCTAAAAATTAAAAAATAAAATAAAATAAAATGATTGTTTAAAACAAATATTTTATATAATAATTTTATGGAAACTAATTGTAAAACTTATGTAAAACTAAAAACTAATGTTATCAATATTAGTTTTTAACACTATTACATTTTAAAAATAAAATTTTAAAAATTTATATAAAGATTTTTTATTCGTCATAAGTTTAAATGTATGAAATTTAAACAAAAAATTTAAGTGTTATAATATAAGTTATATGGGGCACTTTGATCCTTCGATCAACGAGCCCCACATAGTTAACGATTAATGTGCCCCATTAGGTACAGTTGATATATTGATGCCAATAACTTCTATAAATACAGTAACCAACTCAAAAAAACAAATTTATTATAAACTTAACACATATAAGTTTACAATAAATTGGTTGTAAAGTAATTCGGAAATCTAATTAAAAATTTATTTGAATTTGTTTACAACTTTCAAAAATCACTTTTCATGATGAAAAACTGTATTTTCAATTTTCTTTACGCTGAAGTTGATCTTATCAAAAATTATTACAATTAAGCAATGAAGGGTAGTATAATGGTTAATTAAATTCAATCTCTGTTAAATTAAGGCAAAAGTAAATGAGTAAAAGCTAAAAGATCATACTGCCCCGGCGATCAATGCGCCCCCATCTCCCCTATATATATTTTTTATCTATCAATGAATTGTTATTTATTTTACTTTTATACAAATTGGTTTTAAAATATACATAAATATTACTGTTTTTGTAAATTAAGTACTCTTTTATTTTTAAATTTTTGCACTTTATTTAAATTTTACTTATGACAAAATGTTATATATAAATTTTTTATATTTTTCAATAAATAAGTTGTATAGTATATATATATATATATATAATATATATATATATATATATATATATATATATATATATATATATATATATATAAATTACAAATACATAATCAAAGGTATTTATTCAACGAAATTATTTAAATAAATTTTTTATATTTTTCAATAAATAAGTTGTATAGTATATACGTATATACGTATATATAAAAAAAAATATATATATATATATATATATATATATATATAAATTACAGTTACATAATCAAAGGTATTTATTTAACGAAATTATTTAAATAAATTTTTTATATTTTTTAAAATATACATAAATATTACTGTTTTTGTAAATTAAGTACTCTTTTATTTTTAAATTTTTGCACTTTATTTAAATTTTACTTATGACAAAATGTTATATATAAATTTTTTATATTTTTCAATAAATAAGTTGTATAGTATATATATATATATATATATATATATATATATATATATATATATATATATATATATATATATATATATATATATATATATATTATATATATATATATATATATATATATATATATATATATATATATATATATATATATATATATATATATAAATTACAGTTACATAATCAAAGGTATTTATTCAACGAAATTATTTAAATAAATTTTTTATATTTTTCAATAAATAAGTTGTATAGTATATACGTATATACGTATATATAAAAAAAATATATATATATATATATATATATAAATTACAGTTACATAATCAAAGGTATTTATTCAACGAAAAGAAATTTAAAAAAATCAATATTAAAAATAATAAAAATTCAAATTCAAAGAAGATTACTTTTTTTTTCCCTCTCTTTTTTTTATTTTCCTCTCTCTCTCTCTCTCTCTCTCTCTCTCTCTCTCTCTCTCTCTCTCTCTCTCTCTCTCTCTCTCTCTCTCTCATTTAAGAAAAAGAATAAATTTAAAATATCGTTATTAAAATCTATAAATGCTGTAAATCTTTATAATTACTTTTTTATAATATAATTGACTAATATGTATATAATTAAAGACTTTAGATCTTTCCAGAAAAATAAAGTATGCATTAATAGATAATTTTCAAATATAATTTTTTTATAGATAGTTTTAAAAATAATTCTCTGTTTCAAACAGAGAATTATTTTTAATCAAAATTTTAAATAAATAAAACAAACAAACAGTGTTTGTTTTATTTATTTATTTATTTAAAACTTTATTTTTAGTTGATTGCTTACAATAGTTTTATAATCAACAAAAACTAATTAAAATCAACACACTAAACTGTTTAAATTAATACAAACAAACATACATATCGTGAATAAAAAATAAATAAAATAAAATAAAAATAGTTTACATAGTAAATAATATAAATGTCAATAAATACAACAAGTTGGTTATTTTCGACGTAAAAAATAAAAAATAAAAAAAAGTTATTTTTGACAGATTTTACAAAAACAAGATTTTCCGTGTCATTTTTAAATACTTTTTTTGAACATCTTTAGACAATTTATTGACATAGTTTCATTGTCTAGGGAGTTCCATTCTTGCGGCGAAAAAACCACGTGATCATAGCGTAATTAAAAACAAAAATATCTACCATTATGATATGGGGGCAAACAAACGCGCTGATTTCAGTACATCATTACTTAAACGCCTTGAAAATGTCTTATGATTATCAAGAGAAGTTATCTAAAAAAGCTGCTGAACGTTACCAGAATAATATTTAGCGTTATATTGAAATAAATCTGTGCAAATGCTTATAGGAAACATGGAATTTAATTAATTCATCATTTTGAAATTATTGCACAGTTTACAGATGTAGTCAATAAATAAAACAAAAATATTACATATTGATATTCTAATAACATTTAAAAATTCTATATTTTGCTTAAAATTTTCCTCAGTGTAATATTTATTGCTCATGTTTTTAATATATGTGAAATAAATGTTATAAATAAAAAATATTTTTTACAGTATAATAATGAAATGATCAAAATTACTAATTACAACAATTTGAATTATAACATCGTAACAATATTTATAAAGCTTTTTGGTAAATGGTATTAGGATTAACAATATTATGTCTTGGCTTTGAAAAAATAACATAAATGACTTTTTATCTTCATTCACAAAGGTACTCTCTAAAACCAGTGACAACAGCAGAAACTCTACTAAAGAAAATAGAACCAATTTATGCTGAAAGCATTTACAAATTAATGTTTTATGTATCATGTTAACATGAAAAATAAAAATTTAATTAAAAATATAACTAAATAAATAATAAAGAAGAAACTTACTTTGTAAGATTGTTTTTGTGACCTAGGAACAATCCTAAAGATTAAAAAGGACAACATTAAAAGTATGTTTTACTTTAAAACATGTTTCTTGCCTATTAGTAAATGATTAGAAGTAACGAGTTCAAGTAAAAATAATCATTTCTAATAATCTAATAATCATTTGTAGCAAGAGACACCAACGAGAAAGTAAGCAAAGTTGTCTATCAACACAAAGCCTCACAACAATAACATCACTATAATAACACAATAAAACAAAATAAAATTATACACATAATGACTTAAAAGTGAATCAACACCGCACTAGAGGTTGAAACAGAACACAAACACACATATAATGTCTAAAGGGTGAGCCAACACGACACCAGAGGTCAACACAGAACATAAACACATATATATTGACTTATGAGTGAGCCAACATACACATAATCACTTACCTAGCCAATGCTGCATTATTTTTAAACTACCATCATTCTCAGCTAAGTTAACTTGTTGTTTCATGTTGGTTCAAGACACTAACATCTTCCACTCCAGTCAATGAATTGTCAGTACTTATTTGTTAACTGACTTTAATAACTTGAGATTTATTGCAATGGCTTTTTTGTACATAGTATTCTAAAAAAGTATAAGCATGTTTGAGGTATATAGTAAATACAAAATTTGTGCTTAACAAGCTATTGAACATTAATTTATTTAAAAAATAAAAACAATAAACACATGATTTATAAATGCTTAGTTTTAATGCATTAATATTTATATATACAATTTATTTTTGTTATGCGTCAATGCATAACAAAAATAAATTGTAACTATTACATAAACAGTTTTTACAAAAACATTTTAAACAACAAGATAAACTATATTATATAGTTTATCTTGTTGTTTATACAGTACATATAATACTATATAGTATATACTAATTGAATTGTTTAATCTATTTATTTTCCTTTCATTTCACATAACAATTGGTTATGTTGGAGGGATGATTTCACTATATATATATTTTTAGCACCTAACATATTTACTGATGGAACATAGTCAACATGCTTTTCAAAATTTTGAAAAGCATCTGGACTATGTTCTTTTTTTTCCTAAAAGAGAAACATACTTACAATGAATAAAAAACTTAATAAGTTCAAGAAAAATTAGTGCTCAAATATTTTGACGATTCAAATACAAAACTTACCAGATACAAAATGTTTTTAGCATACTTAGACATGTTTTGCGACCTAAGTTTGTTTTAGCAAGATGAATCAGTTCTATATAAAGCATAAAGCCACGATTTTCTTCTCTTTGGATCAGGAAACAAAATATAAAAAATCAAGTTCGGATGACTATTAACATTAAGGGAACAATCAAAAACACATTTCTCCATTTTCAAGCGCTTTGTTTGCCCCCATACCATAATGGTAGCCGTTTAGTTAGTTAAAGTGACGTCACGTTCGCCGCAAGAATAGCGAAGTTGCTCTATATAAGTTACTTTTTATGAACTTATGTTTAGAGACCATGGGTGGGAGCAGGCGCGTCGCTTTGGGGAGGGGGAGAAGGGAGTCTCTCTCCCCCTCCTTCCCTCAGAATCTTGAAAAGAGAAAAGTTGGGAATTTCCTTGAAACGAGTTTGGATAGTTGGAAAATCAGTGATAAAATGAAAAAGTTTTTTTTAATTAAATAAAATTGAAAAGTTTGCAAAAATCAATCAAGTATGGGACTTCGGCCGCGGTAAAGATGGCTTCCGGACATGCTCTGCAATAATAATGGCCAATTTATTTTTGAGTTTATTAAAATAATAACATATTTTGCGTGATACCAGTTTGTTAGTTTGAACCGTTTTATGTCACTTGGAACTTGCTTGCATCAGCTTATTTGTTTAAGGAAGCTTTGTAGTGAATTTTAGATTAAGTAGTTATTAAATAGTTGGTATTTATAGACTGCTTATGAGTATCGTGGAACTAAACTCCTGATTGATTTAACAGCGTTGAAACTATGTACTTAAATTAGTTGATGGATACACTTATTATATATGTACAACCTAGCAAGATCTGTCAACAACAAAAGAGAAAACTAATACTTAGTGACTCTAAGCGAGCTGTTGCTGATCTTTCATTCTAAAAAACATATTTTTCTTATAAATTGGGTCAATAATTTTTTAATAAATATTCATCCTGTTGTTTTATTCTAATAATTGTCTACCGAAACACAAAAAGAAAACATATTTCGAGCCAGAAAAAGTGTGTCAACAGTCTTCTTGAAAAGAAAAGAAAAAAGAAATAAGTTTGACTTGTTAATTTATAATATATTTTATAGTATAAATATTTATTTAAAAAATTTTACTATTATTATTTAGAAATTTTACTATATTTTATAATATAAATATTTAATACCTTATCTCGTATTATAAATTTCAAAAGTGTTACATTCTTTACTTTGAAAATACTATTACATTCTTTACTTTTCACCAAAATACTCACACACAGTGTTGCATATCTCACTAGTATATAAAATATAATATTATATATTTTTTAATTATATCTTAAGACCTGACATCAAAATTCAAAAAAAAAAAGAACTAGAATCAACCTTTATTAAAGTCTTACTGCCATCAGAAAAAAATATTATTGTAGGTTGCATTTATCGCCACCCTTGTATGAACACTAGTGAGTTCTTTATCACTTATATACAAACCCTACTTGACAAGTTATCACTAGAGAATAAAAATATAGTTCTTTTAGGAGACTTCAACATTAATCTTTTAAAATAAGAATCTTGTAATGATGCTTCTAACTTTCTAGATCTAATGTACTCTTCCTCCCTCTTCCCATTAATTACTCAACCAACCAGAATTACTCCAAAATCAAAGACACTCATAGATAATATATTTGTAAACTTTCACACACCAAATACTAAATCAGGCAATCTAACAGTATCGCTTGCTGACCATCTTATTCAGTTCATATCCTTTCCATGCAAGAACTTAAAACAGTCTCTTCCCAAAGTATATCGTAGATGTTTTAAAAATTTTGATGAAAAAAAGTTTCTTAAAAACTTAAAAGAAACTGATTGGCTCTCAATAAACCAACAAGGGAACTATTGTGTTAATAACTTTACCTCTAAGTTTTTGGATACACTTAGAAGATTACTTGATAATCATGCCCCTTTCAAAATGTCTACCAAAAAAGCTAATAAATCTTTATCGAAGCCATGGATTACCAAGGGAATCATTACGTCAATACAAATTAAAAATAAGTTGCACAAGAAGTTCATTAAATGTAAAAATGAGAATTTAAAGCTACAATACTTCCAAAAATTCAAATATTATAGAAATCAAATTAGTAACCTACTGCGATACTCAAAAAAAACATATTACTCAATCTACTTTAATGAAAATCTGAATAACCTTAGGAACACCTGGAAAGGAATAAGGAGTATTATTTCTACTAAATCAAAGAACAACAATAACATAGATAGTTTAAATATCAATAATAAAACTATAACTAACAAGGAAATAATTACAAACACATTTAATGATTACTTCTCATCAATTGCAAATAATCTTGCTAAAGAAATTATACTTCCTAGATTTCACTTCAGCCACTATCTAAAAAACCAAAATCCTGATTCTTTTTTTATATCCCCAGTTACTTCTCAAGAAATAAATGACTATATCTCACTAATGAATCCGAAAAAAAGCACTGGACCCAATAGCATTCCTTCAAAAATAATGACCTTAGCATCTCAAGAATTGAGTTTCCCCTTGAGTATTTTAATAAATCAATCTTTCCAATCAGGGATATTTCCTGACTTATTCAAAATTGCAGAAATTGTTCCAATTTTTAAAAGTGGCTGTAAACAAGATCCTTGTAACTATCGGCCTATATCCTTACTCTCAAATGTAGGTAAACTAATTGAAAAGCTTATGTATAACAGGCTACTAAGTTTTTTAAATCTATCAGGTAGCTTATATAGTTTGCAATTTGGATTCCGAAAAAAACACTCCACTAACCAAGCACTCATAGATATAACTGAAACCATACGTGAGGCTTTAGATCATAAACAGTTTGCTGGTGGAGTGTTTGTTGATTTGCAAAAAGCATTTGATACTGTCGACCATGAAATCCTATTATCAAAGCTGTACCATTATGGTGTAAGGGGAATTGCTCTGAACTGGTCATATCTAAATCGTCGTCAATATCACAATCGAAGTCATATCTAAATCGTCGTCCTCAAAGTGTTACTATTGGTAATATCTCATCCACTACTAAGTTTACGTATATAGGGGTTCCTCAGGGTTCAACTCTGGGTCCCCTTCTTTTCCTTATCTACATAAATGATTTAAATACTTGTATTAAGTACTCAAAAGTGTATCATTTTGCTGATGACACTAACCTTCTAATTGTAGATAAGTCTTTAAAAAAGCTAAATAAGTACCTAAATTATGACCTGGCATCACTGGTCCAATGGTTACGATCAAACAAAATATCTCTGAATGTCAAAAAAACTGAATTAGTTCTATTTAAACCTCGAGGCAAAAAAATTATCAAAAAACTTAATTTTAGAATTAGTGGTCAAAAACTAAATATTGTAGATAATATAAAGTATCTAGGCATATTGTTAGATGAAAATCTCTTGTTCATTCAACAAATTAAATCCATAGCAAACAAACTAAGTCGAGCAAATGGAATGCTTACCAAAATAAGGCATTTTGTGAATTATGAAACCCTTGTGAATATTTGGCATGCTATTTTTAACTCCCATCTACGCTATGGTTGTCAGATATGGGGACAAACTTCATCCATGTATAAAAAAAACCTTATAAATCTCCAAAATAAATCATTAAGAATAATTCACTTTCAACCTAACAGTTTTAGTTCTGACCCACTATATAATCTTTCTAAAATTTTAAAGCTTGATGAACTTATCTACTTATCAAACTGTGTACTTGTATGGGACATTGTCCACAATAATATGCCCAGCTGCTTCACTAGCTATTTTAAATTCACAAATGATATTCATAGTTATAATCTTAGGTCTGTATCTTATTGTAGTCTCTCTAAGCCTTTAAAACTAACACATAAGTATGGCATAAAATCAATCAAGTATCAATCAATTCACTGTTGGAACTCTCTTCCTGTTGAAACTAAAATAGTATTATCCAAAATGACAAATAGAAATGCCTTCATAACTAAGGCCGTGCGGTTAACCGAACCGAACCGTTCTTTCGGTGAAAACCGAAACAAAAAAACCGAATCGAACCGAACCGATCTAATTATTTAAATCAAAATAAAAACCGAATTGTAACTGAAAAAACTTTTAAAAACCGATTTAAAATTTTAAAATTTCAAAAACATTATTTGACATCAAATTTTTAAATAAAATATAATTGTTATTTAATTTAAGAAATTTCAAACCGCAGAAAAGCAAAGTTAAAAAGGGAACAATGAAAAATAAACATAATAAAATAGCTTGCCGTGAAATTAGAACAAATGTTGCGGACCATGATGGAGTAAGATTTTTTAAGTGTTGGATATCAATATCGTGTAGTATGGTAAGCGAAAGATACTATGACTCAAAATGAGGTCTTGATTTTTTTTAAAAACGAAGACCAGATATATTACTG